GCCTAACTAGTTCCTAAATCTACAATCATGGATTACTGTATTATCTTTGTCTTAGTTTGCCCATCACTGATAAAGACATCTGCTTCCCTTGGACTAATTAATATTTTAGATTTGCGGATCGAATACGCGCATTAGGCAGGATTTTTTCATAGTTAGATTTTGGATTTGTGGCTGAAGTTGTTTGCGGACCATTTCCTGTGGATCCTCTGGAAAGCAACAGCCAACGCCTATATTTAGGTTTCATGTTTTGTCCAAACTTGATGCCTATAATTTTCGGTGAGATTTGCTTGATTCATGTGAGTTTCAGTTTTCCAAAACTCATCCCCCACAAAAGTTTCTCACTATTAGAAAACGGATCATCAACAAGTAAGTATCAAAGCATATATCGACACATTACAAGCTTTCAATAACATAACTCCACAATACTAAATAAAAACTCCACAATACTAGACTTTATTTTATAGTAAATGTCTTTAGTTGCAATTGGTGGCGTTAAATGCAGTTTCATCATCAACCAAGCTGCAAGCACATTAAAAAAAAGGGAAGAAATCACCACATCCATTATTCCATTGTTTTGGGCGTTGATCTAAGTTTTTTCTTTTTATTCATTGAAAGGTCTAAGTGGTTTCCCCACCCCCCACTCCCCCCTCCTTTTTTTTTTAAGTTGCAAGGAAGGTGGGGAATCTGATACAAGTGGAGGGGATGGGGTTCAATCTCACACGTACCCCAAGCGCCATATATGGAGTACATCTGTACATTGGTTTTTTTCCACTTGCTTTCATGGGTGGTTGGCGGGTTTTGCCTCAGTTAGGCTTCATTCTGCATTTAACACCTTTCCTACGGTATATAATCTAAAAATATAAATATAATTAATCAATTTTAATTAGTAATATATATTTTTTAATCATTTTAATTAATATTTTTTCTTTTAGATACAAAAAGATAAAAAATCTACAATAAGAACACAGTATTCCCACCAGATTGAGAGAGAGGGGTTTGTTTGTTTATTTTGCTATAGTAACATATAGGTATTTTGTTGGATTAATGTTACTAATTACTACTCAGTCAGACTATTAAATTAAAGTAAATTAAAACCAAAATCTTTCCCAACTAATTTGTACCATAGAGTAAAAAAAATGGAATCAAAATAAAGAATGCTTTGGTTCTTTGCAAACGTTTGGAGTTGGATATGCGTATGGTTATTTATAATTTTGTTAAGGCTATTTAAAGTGTTTGGTATAATAGTTAAAATTTAGTGGATAACAAATAATGAATAATGGATGACAAATAATGATAGTAAGTAGTGATTAATAGATAGCAAGTAATAGATATTAAAAAGTAGATAACGG